CAGAAGGTTGAACATCACCAGTTTCTTTATGCTGATTTCAAACTATCGTTCCTCTCTGTTCTAGCCAGTCTTCTTTCTGTTCCTCAAACGTATCTCATCTTTTTCATCTCAAAACTTAGGCTCATTTTTTGTTCCTTGTCTAGGAACAGATATACTGCCTCCATCTGTCCATTTATTCATTTCATCATTTATCAAATATTTATTCAGCATTTATGTGTCAAACTCTAGGGGTACAGCAGCGAAAAGAATCTCAAGAAGTTTATATTTTAATGACTTTCCAGAACAGCACTGTGAAACAGAACTGTAATACTGGAGATGTTCTGTATTTGCGCTGTCCAATAATGTAGCCACCAGCCACTTGAAATATGGCTTATGACTCTATTTTAGACAACATTTCCAGATCACTGACATTTAATTAGCAATTATTCTTCAGGAATCGTCAAAAGAACAATACAATGAGTTGTACACATTAATCAAAACCAAAGAGGTCAAGTCAGCCTTACTGAGCAAAAACATTAAATTCCTGTCTTGTGGCCTTGGTACTAAATGTTGCCTCTACTGGAAATACCTTTCTCCTTTTGTCTTCTGATTATCATTCAGTACTCAGCTTAAATATTACCTCTTTCTAAATCTTTCTAAAGATTTTGACTAAAATCTAAACTAGCCACCAGGTCCCCTCTAGTACACTGACCTCTTTTTTAAATTTATTTTTTTATTTTTCTTCTTATCTAGGAATTGCTTGAGATGATCTCTTTAAATTTCTTTATTGCAATACCATTTCTAATTCTTCTACTGTTCAATGTGTCCAACCATTAGAGGCATGACTGTGGTTGTTTCAGATCAGTGAGAAAAGAAATTCTCAGCTCATTAAATGGTTTTCATTCATTGAACAAATGCACATTGTTTACCAAGTTACTCTAACCATTGGTCTACATCAAAGGAGAGAACAAAGCATCGGAGAGCACTGTGGAGCTTACCATGTTAGTGGCAGAAGGAAAATATCCACCAGGAAAAATATCAGTACTAAGTACTGTCATGGAATAATATGAGGAATCTATTGTTAAATTTTTAAAAGCAGGTATTTCTTTTTTTTTTTTTTTTGAGACCGAGTTTCGCTCTTGTTACCCAGGCTGGAGTGCAATGGTGCGATCTCGGCTCACCGCAACCTCCGCCTCCCGGGTTCAGGCAATTCTCCTGCCCCAGCCTCCTGAAAAGCAGGTATTTCTAAAATAATCTCATTTGTCTTTAGAGAAACAGTGGGAGCCGCGTGCAGTGGCTCATGCCTGTAATCCCAGCACTTTAGGAGGCCAAGGCGGGCAGACCAAGAGTTCAAGAGACTGAGGCCATCCTGGCCAATATGGTGACACCTCATTATCTGTACTAAAAATACTGAAATTAGCTGGGCATAGTGGCACGAGCCTGTAGTCCCAGTTACTCAGAGGCAGAAGCAGAAGAATGGCTTGAACCTAGGAGACGGAGGCTGCAGTGAGCTGAATCGTGCCACTGTACTCCAGCCTAAAGGCAGAATGAGGCTCCATCTCAAAAAAAAAAAAAAAAAAAAAAAGAAAAGAAAAGAAAAAGAAAAAGAAAAAACTGGGAGGCCAGGCATGGTGGCTCATGCCTGTAATCCTCCTACTCAGGAGGCTGAGGTGGGAAGGATCCTGAATTCAGCCCAGGAAGTCGAAGCTTCAGAGAGCTCTGATTGTGCCACTGCACAGCACTCTAGCCTGGGAAACAGAGTGGGACCCTTTCTCAAAAAAAAAAAAAAAAAAAAAGGAGGAGGAGGAGGTAAGGAAGGGAAAGGAGGGGAAGGGGAAGCAGAAGCGGAACGGAAAGGGAAAGGGAGAAAGAAAGGGGGCAGGGGAAAGATGAGGAGGGGAGGTGAAAGGGAAGAGGAGAGAAGGTGGAAGGGAAGGGAAGGGGAAAGAAAAGGGAAAGTGGGGGCCTGTTTGTATACACATAGAAAAATGCCCAGAAATAGGACATCAATATATAACAATAGTTAACGAACAATAGTGCAGTGTTATGAGATCTTTTCCTCTCTGATCTGCTCATTTTAAAACAGCTTGAACTGTTCACCACAAGCGAGTATGAATTTTTACTGTTTTTCCTGAACATGGGGGAGGTGCAGATTAAGTTTAAAAAAGAGACAGATCATTAATACCAAACACTTCTGAATAACACTTCTGAAATGCCACAGGACTCAGAGTACAAAAAGTCAGTGACCTTGATAATCCCATTTTTTTTTTAGTAAAAAGGAATAGAAAAAAGACTGTAAAGGATTATTGAATAGAGTAGAAAAGTACATAATAAATAGGACAATTTATACCAAAAGCTTAACAGTTGAAGATAGTAACTAGATGGGGAAACTGTACAAATCAAAATTTTTAAAAGAGATATTCAGAAGAAATGAAAAATTAAGAAATGTTAGCCCAGCTTAGGGCCTTCCTTTCCGTAATTCAGGAGGTTATCTATTGAAGTGAAAACATGAAGACTTGAGGGAGGAGAGGCTGGAACAGCTGCTGTGAAGAGTGGATTACACGAATAAAAGTCTTTATCTTCGCATTCTGTTACTCTGTGTGAGTTAGTGCCTACGTGGGTGTTAGGATATACTGATTATATGGACTCGTTTTTCAAACAGGGCTGCAAAAGCAATTTAATGGGTCACTAGCAAAGTTTTTTTGTTAACAAAAAGAGAAAACATGAGAGTTTATTACCACAAGTGGTTTCGCTTATATAATCTACATGTGTTTTACCCACTCATCTACATACACATAAGTATGCACCGGGTCATGATGTAAAGTATTTCTAACTATGGGTTTGAAAGCCGCAAACAGAAAACAGCAAAACGTGGTAGCACACACCTGTAGTCCCAGCTGCTTGGGAGGCTGAGGTAGGAGAACTGTTTGAACCTGGGAGGTGGAGGTTGCAGTGAGCCAAGATTGTGCCACTGCACTCCAGCCTGGGCAACAGAGTGAGACTCTGTCTCAAAAAAGAGAGTCTATGTAGAAGGACCTGAAAGCCAGCACCACAAAGCCCCTGCACTTGGTCCCACTGGCAGCCACACACCACCTGACTCCTTGACAACATTAAGTCAACTTTCCCATGTCACTTACTCTTGACTGGTTACATTCACTCAAAAGCTTAATAGCTGACTGGAATCCTCATCATGAAAAACTGTCTTAGACCTTCTAAATTGTTTTCAATCTCTAAAATGTCAACCAAATTCACCTAAGAGGGTAGCCCTGAAGATATAAAGCACACAATTTTCACTCTACTTGAAAATGCTCCCTTCCACTCTGAAGCAACCATGCTATTTCTGATAGTTTTTCTCCTACCTGTGGACCCCTCTTCTTCTATTTTACCTGTGGAAATTCGACTTGCTTTTTTTTAATGCTTAACTCAACAGTACTCAACTTATGCATGCAAACTTCTGCCAATCAGTCAAGTTAGCAAAGAGGAAGCCCAAAACCCATGAAGTACAACAACACTGTAGACTAAACATTAACACGTCACACATTCACTATTTTTCAAATATAAAAAGATGTGATTGTGGCTGGGCATGGTGGCTCACACCTGTATTCACAGCACATTGGGAGGCTAAGGCAGGCAGATCCCTTGAGGTCAGGAATTGGAGAACAACCAGACCAACATGGTGAAACCTCAACTTAACTAAAAATGTAAAAGTTAGCCAGGCGATCTACTCAGGAAGCTGAAGCAGGAGCATGGCTTAAGCCTGGGAGGCAGAGGTTGCAATAAGCCGAGATCACACCACTGCCACTCTAGCCTGAGCCACAAAGCGAGACTCCACCTCAAAAAAAAAAAAAAAAAAAAAAAAAAAAAAAAAAAAAGCATCGATGAATTCAAAATATCTTCCCTTTAATTACATATTATCTTCATCACAGATACTGCAGTACAATTACTACCATGATATTGAAAAGAGATATGGAGGCCAGGCACAGTGGCTCATGCCTGTAATCCCAGCATTTTAGGAGGCTTGGGCAGGTGGAGGTCAGGAGTTTGAAACCAGCCTGGCCAAGATGGTGAAGCCACGGCTCTACTAAAAACTACAAAAATTAGCTGGGTGCGGTGGTAGGTGCCTGCATTCCCAGCTACTTGGGAGGCTGAGGCAGAATTGCTGGAACCCAGGTGGCAGAGGTTGCAGTGAGCTGAGATTGCACCACTGCACTCCAGCCTGGGGGACAGAATGAGACTCAGTCTCAAAAATGAAAAAAGAGGTATGTAGCCAGCAGTTTCACATTTGAAAGAGTTGAAAAACCCAGGCCTAGTTCAAGTTTCTTCCATGAGGCCTCCCTTACTGTTTTTGTGTTAAATTATAAAAATCTTTCAAGGATCAAATCCTATACCATTCTGCCATATTTATTT